TTTCACAAACAAGCGCCGCAAAGAAATAGAAATGTAGGGTAGAGAAACAGAGAGATGATCTAATATTTGACGTACATCATATTCATAAGTAATTAGAGTCAAACCATTTACCTTCTCATAACCATCGAGGTCATCTGCAGTTAGGACTTTTCTGTTTTCCGTCATTGTATTTAACCAGCTGAAAAAGGGGTAAGAATATAAAGGAATTCAATCATTCAATCTGGCAGTCTAGTCTCTTGCTACATAGCACTAAATGCTACGAGCATTGGATGGCCTGGATTCATGGGACTACAATAAAAGCAATAATTCAAACCAATCCAGGCCATCCAATGCTCATCGCATTTAACGCTTCGTAGCATGGAATAATTTTCCTATTTATTGTACCGCAATTGCTGAATGTAAAATTTTGGGTAGGAAAATAGCAAAATATTACAGAGCAGGTTCTGTGAAACAAATGCATGACAGATTCAACATTCGTCATTAAATTAGTGAAGGAAAGTTACAACATAACATAAACAAGAGTAAGATAGGGGAACCGATGTACATACCAATAGAAATCTCCATGGCTATCTTGGAATTGGATTTTGAAATCCCCCACTAACTCAGCCAGACCAGGTTCCCCTGGTAGAGCGAAAACCACAAACCCTTTCTTCCGTGCATTGATCCAGAAATCTTCTGGCTAAAAGAATGAGTTGATGCGCTTAAATTAGAAATTCAATGGATTTCTACATATGTATATAATAAATATAAAAGCATATCGATTAGTATGAAACTGTTTTACTTTGACAAGCGCTTACCATTAGATCTTTCGTTTTTGGATGCTTCCTTGATGAGAACAAAATTCCTGTGCATTGGGATAAACATCTTGATAAGTGACATAAAACAGCTTCTAAACATGGAAAGAGAGAAGGCATTTTTAGGAATGGATATGTATGCATGGCTCTAAAAACCCGCACATGCAAGAACATTGACACAATGAATCATATCGATTAGTATGAAACTGTATTATCATCACAACTTCAAGTATTGTCTTAGTACTCAACGGCAACTCTGTGAAGCGTTATCTGTAACCCAGTACTCGATTCCCTTATCACAAGTGCTCTTTTCTACCCAAACAAACTCAAGGTTCAACAAGTAACTAGTTCAGGAAGTGAACAATATTAGAAAAAGATCACTATTTATAAACAAAAATGCCTCTTTGGAATCAAAGAACAGTACATCAACTTATATTCTGCTATTAAATATCTATCATAAAAAGTGATGGTTCAAAACATCACAGAATATTGCAAGGATGATAGCGTCAAAGATTACCCTTATGATCCGAGACTGTAATGGAGGGCCTAATCCAATAAGGGCAATTGTGAAGCCGAAATCCCCTGAGCATGCACCTATAATATTGCAACTTTAGTACCTTCTAAAATGGAGTCTTACAGACACACATGTACACAAACACAGACAGAGGCAGGCAATCTATTTTTAGAACTTTAGATATGGACGATTGAAATGCATCTCACCCACCTGTGCACCTTAATAACCTATATCTGATTCAATAGCTCAAATATTCAACTTAACTCCTCAACCTAGGTCCTCATTACAAGACCACTGTACCACTTAGATACATATATACAAGTGAATGGTCAGTCTGTCAGAAGTGTACCTTCGAGCTGGAGGAGTTTCTCCATTGAAGTGTTTTAAGATATGCTCAAAGTATTTGACGTATCTCTGGGAAAATCATAGAAAAAATTGTTAATCGCAATGATGTAGATAGGTAAGCAACATCAAGCTTAAAAAGGAAATCCAAAAATTTAACTGACTCACAATCTGACTTGGGAGAACCAGAGCCTTTCCATCTATACACCTTTTATGGTTATAGTAATTCATGGCCTCCTCAGCTGTAGGGAAGAACTGCAGAGACATGGAAAAACAAACAAGAAAAAGTTATAGTCATAAGTCCAAGAAATAATAATATAGAGCCAAAAGAAGCACCAACATTTCCACCATATAACCCCCAGATCTTAGGTGCTGATTATTGATCTCACCTTAAGAAATAAGAGAAGGCTACAAATCATTACTCCTGTCCTTGCCATACCAGCTTTACAATGAACAACCACAACATTTTCGATGCCCTCCTTTAACCATGAATGAGCACTTCGACAGAAAGATTCTATGAGTTCGATTGGGGGGCAATTATGATCATCAAATGGGAAACTTGCAGCCTTAAAACATTCAGAGAAGCGAAAAATAGATGAAGCTGTTATTCAACATAACTGAAAAACAGAATTACAGCACTGGAAAGTTAAACTTCTTAATCTATTTGACTATACTTTCAACTTTCTTCTTTCTCAATATATTAACACATACAAGATAGCCCTCATTAAGTCTATCACATCATTCGCATATTTATCTTATGATTTCATCAACGGCCATTTTGTTATTTAACATGTTAAAATGAAGAACTTCAATAGCTCCATCAATGATACAGAATTCTTTATTTATTTTATATTTTGCATATAAAAAAGTGCCAACCACTTCACCTAGCAGCAATATCATGCCTTATTTTTCGATACACATCTTTGTAAACATCCAGAACCAAAAACCTGGGACACCCTCACAATTTGGTGCACTCACTAGGAAATTGACGGTTGGGCAAGTCTTGTACTTAAGCTAATACATATGCAAGAAAAGTTTTTAAATCTCGCAATTTCCCTACTCATTTGTCACATTTCTATAAGGCAGATTATCAAATTCCTTCAATTTCTTTAAGCTTTCAACACAAAGCAAGTGAAGATGAAACACACACCTTCCCCTCAAATCGCGATGCATCATACAACCTCTCTGAACAAAGATTGTACACTTTATATTTTCCCTGCAAAACAAATGTCAAATTGACAGAAAGTTTTGAACTAGCTATAGGCCGGAAATACAAAGTTTCAATTATAAAAGAGGAACAGAACCGTAACTGGAGATAAGCTAGAAAAATGTAAAACCATGTCCTTAAGCCCAACATCATTTCCTGAATTGTAAACAGATTTTCATGTTCCTAGTAAAAAATTTATGCCTTCAGATTTGAAAACCTTTTCTCACCTTGTGAGTAGTCTCAAGAAAGCTGATGACTTCTTCCATATGATTTCGATAAAAACCCTGCATCACGTTTTAGTTGGTACGTTAAAAATGATACAACCAAGCTTAGCCTACTGAATTTCAAACATAAACCACGTCAGTTTATTACCTCAACATATCCAAATAGGCCGGAACTTATATCTCCAGCTGGGAAACCCATTGCAATTATATTCTCAGTAATGTACGTCAGATCCAAATCAAAACCACCCTCCTAAATTTAGTGCAGAATAAGTGTCATAGGAAACATTCTTTGTGGAAGACTCACCATTTTATTTAGGTGAAGATAAAGGTAGTAATAAGTCATAGTAAGAAAAATGCGAGCAGTTGCAATCAAATCAACTGAATGTAACTAACTGCAACAATTAAGAATTTAACAAAAGAAAATGGAAAATCATACACATAACCGAGGCACATTCTACCAGAATTTGAAATGCAAATAAAGTAGTTGAATTGAATTTGTGATAGGCTCGGCATTATTAATCAAGAAACAAAACCGAAGCACACTCTGTAATTCTGGTAAGGTACCTGGTATCTTCGTTTGTTTTGGGAGACCAAATGGCGCGCCTTGACCTGCACAGCCTTCACTGCACTCTGAGACGTGTTAACCAAACCCTTTGTAAATGATAGAAAAACCCCAGATACCGCTTTTGCATATTGAGTATTATCTTGACCAGAGGCAGCAGCAGCAGCAGTAGCATTTTCAACCCCAGAATCTTTAGCAGGAGGTTGAGTTGACGGGTCAGTAGCCTTCGACTCCATTCAGGGAAATCAATGGAGATCCTAACACTACCCAGGTAGAACTCAATGGAGATCCTACAACAGCACATCAACAGGAACAAATAACCAAGTGAAGTGATTGCATTACAACATAAAGAAACGAATCAAAACTTGGGCAAAAGGATTTCTTGCTTCGAATATAAGCTGGATCGCAAAAACCCAATTGAAAACGAAGATTAACGGTTAGAATAATACATTTCAACATACAAAACAAACAATGGAGTCAATCAGAAACATGGGTTCTAGCCTAAATCTGTAACATTCAAGTTCTTGATGAACAACAATGCATCGTAAGATTCATACCTCACAAATACACGTAGGAAGATGTGCCAAGATTCATCTTTACAATGGCAAATGTGAAAATTTCATGGGCTATCACCAATCGAATTGACAAATTCAAAACATTTGGTGCCAAATTGTGTAAATATGCGTATAGAGTGGGCAAAGTGGCTTACCGGGAGTCTAGGTTTGAATCGGAGGATTTGGGTTTGTATAGAGGCCGAGATCCTTCCAGGCTTTTGAAATTTTATTGAAATGTTGGATTGAAAGCTGCCCAAGAAATGAAATGTTGATATTTACCATTTACCATTTACCTTTTACCAGGCAGGAAGATTCAATTACTGGCCGTTGTTCGTTAATCGTTAGTTCATTATATACTTTTGCATGCTTCCAAGAGTCAAATACTTTTTGGAAGCTTCAAGGAAGGGATTTTTTTCTAAAAAAAAAATAAATAGAGATTAGTTGTGAGATCCACACCACATCGAACTTTAACAATTCGATCCGTCTATTTTTTAAGTTGCACTATATAGATAGACTATTCTTGCAAAATGTTCGACATGAAGTAGGCTCCATAACTAATCCCTATTTTTTGAAAAAATTGAGGATTCCTTAAACTTAAAGGGCCTTACCTTTTTTAGGCAAAAGTGTTTTCTCAATTTACACACCTAATGCTTCAAGAATATACTTCTCATGCACTCATATTGAAGATTCGTTTATGTTGTAATTGTGATGGTTATTCGCTTAGAAGACGTTGTTTTGCCGATGATCGAGGGTTGCTTTGGGTTAAAAAAAAGTTGTCATGCTTGATTGCTTTAATCACGAGATCATAGAAATTATATGCATTAGGTACAAATACAATGTGTTTCCAAACAATCTACAAACTTGTGTGTTTAGCATGTTGACTTGTAAAAATGGATGAAACCAGAATATGATTTGAAATTTTGTGTCACAATACAAAACACTCTCACTCTGCAACCCGAAACTCAGAGAGGAAAGGCATTTGCATGTTGAACTTAGTTCGGCGGCCTGTAATAGCCATAGACTCCGTAGAAGGTCTGTGCGAAAGTGAGAAACAACAACACGACAGCGGCGATGAAGGAGAGGATGGCCCAGGGATTGCTGAAGTAGTTATGTTTTAAGCTGGCACGCCAAGCGTTCCACCTGTGGTCGTAGTAGCGGTTCACATCCGCTGACAATGGGGAGAGATAACTGTCATTGATATCGAAAACCACCTCTTGACAGAGGCGGTTAAAGAGGTCAGCGACCTCATCGTCGCTGCCAAGCCAGTGCTCAATTATTCCACAATAATGGAGGTACCCTACATCTTGTGGAGAGTTGATCAAGTTGTCCATGAAGATCACGTAGGATGTTATGTCATTGCTGCAATCCAGATGACACTGCTCAAACGCAATCAGATTGAGGAAGAGAGACTTGGTACCATCATGGATCAAGAGCCTGGGAATTTTAAGAATCCCATTCTCGAATTTCACGTCCCAAAACCTATCCGTCTTCCTTTTCTTGAACTTGATCCCAGCCTCCTTGAGCTCCGTAACGCAATGAATCAATTGCTGCCTTCGTTTATCTGCAACCCGATTCGAGTGTGACCATCTCTTGATCCAAACTCTCGGCACAGCCTGAAGCCCCGTGCGCAATAGACTTCGCCTGAACACGTCAAGACAATGAAGGCCACCTTGTTCAGACAGCGGATCAAACGTGGTTGCGTATGCAAGCGATGACTCGAGTTTGTTCCTATCGCTCTTTGTCAATGGCTCGTCAGTTGGCATCAATGGATCGAAAAACCGAAGTGCTAGCTTAGCTACAAGTCCTTTCTGCTCAGGATCTCCCAACTGCAGCCCTAATAACCGATCAAGAATGAAAAGCGGAAGCTGATTCTCAAGCATGATCATGTCCCTCTGAATCGAATGCATTGACCCACGCATTGCAAATATGGGATCATTTCGAGGGTAACCTAGTTGCTTAAATCCCTCACCAACGCCGCGAAACAGCTCGAGCACAAAGCAACCGTCAAGCACCATCATTTCAACGAACTCATTGCTGCTGAGCCCCATTGCAGCTGGCCCTTCATAGCAAGCTCGAGCCTTTTCTTCAACTTCTTTTATAGAATTAAGATACAGCTCTATGCACTGGTTTGTCCGCTTCAGCATCCGAAGAAGCGACCGCCATTTATGGCGGTCCATTTGGCGAAGACGCCTCTTGCCGTGATGGTAAGGCCCCAATGACACAATCTGAGGCACAATGGCTTTATCATCACCTTCTCTCAAGTAATGTGGGACTTTGTAAATGCAGTGCTTTGCCCACGAACTCACCGCGTCGTCCTGGCCGGCCTGATCAAGTTTGTCTTTGATGTTGATCGTCCACTCGGATTCTGGCGACTTGGGTCCCTCTTCAAATTTCTGATCACAACCATTTTGGATCACAATATGGAGTGGCTCAGACGGTTGCTGCTGCTGCTGATGAACATGTTGGTGTGGCAGTTCAATTGATCTGTTTGTGGAAGTAGAAGTCTTTGCAATTCCGGATTCCACTGTTTCTCGGAGTTTGACTGTAATGAGGTACCAGCTCAGGAGCTCCTTGTTGAACACAGCAACCATTTCTTTTTTTCCCTCAAAAATGATGTCCTGAACTTGGTTTTTGCTTGAATCCTAAGCAATAAAAAGCAGAGATTGCAAGGCAATTGTTTCTTGAATACCCGCAATCACTTAGTGCGGATACATATTTGAACGTTGGATTTGATCAAGCAACGTAAACTGAGTGATAGAGGACCGTTGGATTTCGCTTGCAAAGGGTCAACTATCAAGGGTTTAAAGATGATGGGGTTGTTGTAACAACATGATTTAAAGTGGATTAGATGGTTGTTTAATAATTTAATAGATGTAGACCAATGGTGCAGCTGTCGTGGAACCTTTTTAATGTGACTTTTAGGTGCAATGTTCTACTCTTATGTCTCTTAACTTAATGAGGGTATGTATGTTGTTGTTCCATTATCATATTGTCACACAGTTGTTTAAAAATTCCCACTACATCTGTCGAACTCGAAGACTTGGAGAATATCAACTTGGGAGTCATCTCACAAAGTTAACAACTCAATATAGTATTGATTTATAGAAAGTGATTACTACACGTTCATTTCTTTTTTCTGCATTTATATGTCTATTTTGTCCTTTAATATTAGTTAAAGATAATGTTACTCGACATTCAGAACCAGCCTTAAAGTGAATGAATTAGAAAGAACAAAGAAGTAAGGAAATGAGACGACTCTTTCTTGAGCTATATCATAAATAGATCCTCCCCTCCACACCAATCACAAGTTTTTTTCTCCATTCCTCTCATATATCGTCGTAACACCCTTACTGCTAGGTTTTGAAAAAGACTTTTCATATCCTTCCCATTTAGGTTTGATTCGGATCCCTCTGTTGTTTCCTTTTCCTCCTGCACCTTTTTCTCGAAATGAGAAAGAAGTTGGTACACTAGAATTGTACTATTTAAGTGCTTATTGCTTGCCAAAGATCCTACTTCTACAATTGGTAGGTCACGGAGATATTCAAATAAGTTGTATTTTCTGTGGTTTTCTCATGTTACAACTCTCGTACCAATTCAGTTGATCTGGAATAAATCAGTTAAACATTCTCTTTTATGTGGTATTCATTCTCGTTCGGCTCTTGGAATCACTTCTAGCAGTGGTTGGAACAGCTCACAAAATCCAACCACTTCAATTAAAAGTTAAAAATTTGTGCTGGGAAGAAAAATTGTATTCGAAAATCACTTTAGCATTATGATCATCTATGAATTGTAAGCATTATAACTATGCCTACTTACTTATCACATTTTCTCATTCATGTTATAACTAAAATATAAATGACAAATTAAAATAAAACAGACGGGTGAACATAATAATATTTTGACATTTTAATGTTAAAACTTCAAAAAAGTGAAGATTGATATGCCAAAATCACTATTAATACCTTTTTGAGAAGTACCACTAAACTCGTAGTTAGTTATTGACTTATAATTTTCTCAAAGGATTTCATATAAACATAGGAATCTTAATTGCAGCAAACAAGGTCCTACAACCTTTTATTGCACGTGGTAGCAAAGGTGGGAAGAAGCAACACTTCAACAAAACCAGGCCTACCTACTCTGTTCAATCATCATCAATTCATCGTGGCTCTCAATTTCCACGTTGTTGGCAAATGCAGCAAGTAAATTATTTCTGTTTTTATAAGAATTTTTTTTTTTTTTTACATTTTTGTTTTATTTTTAATTAACGAATATAAATGTAGGAATATAATTGTAGGCCTTAATTTCTAAACTAGATATTTGATTCAATATTCTATTATTCAGTCTAACAAGGGCCAAAAAGTCATAGACCTTAATACGAAGGTGAAGTAATTAAGGAACCTCCAAGTTGACCAAATAACACAATTTTCTCGTTAATCATATGTCACATTTTTTATTAATCAATTGATTCTCTGAAGTTATTCTTGTTGTGAAATCTCGTTTTTGGTTTTCACTATTGCAAACTACGTATGTGTATTAAGGAGTTATTATATTATTTTTGGAATTTATATTAATGGTAGAGTGTTGAGCTTGCGTATTCAAAAGATATTAAGGTGAAAAAGCTACAATTAAAAAGTTGCCTTTAATTAATTAAGGAGAAAGGAAAAAAAAAACAAAAATCAGAAACTGGGGGGGGGGGTGGGCGGGGGAAAGGGGTTGCCCGATTGGAGGAGAAGGAAAAGAGAGAGATACCAATGAGATGAGGGGAAAAGGAGAGGAAATGAGGGAGGTGCAGAGGCCCCCGCAACCCACACCCAACCCGTGACCCAATTGGAGACCCGTTTCCCCGAGGCTTTTCCGACGCCAAATTGAGCGTTATTCCGGTGATTTGTGGCGAGGAACCACTTGGAAACAACTTGGCATCACTCTCTCCTTCATATCCATCCAAGAATTGAAGACATTAGCCTCGATTTCGTGACAACCGCACATGTGGGTGCGAGGGAACTTTGATGGAAAGCCACCATTTTTGAAGTGTTTCTTTTAAATTACTACCAACTTTGACATCCTCTTGAGGCCAGAAACAAACCCCAAACAAGTTTGGGGGCAGTGGAGCACCGGAGAAGACGAATTGATGAAATGCTTATAATTCTAAGGTTCTTGTGGGTTTTAGTAGAATTGGAGATTTTCCCGGCCAAATTGGACTTGGCCACATGTATAAAGTTGGCTATACTCTTAGAGATCTTCATTTTTGTAATTTTTTTAATAATTTTTAAAAATAGTTGAAATTTTCCGATAAGTCGTGGCGGCCGACCACCACCCGCGGCGGCGCTTGCAGTGGCGGCCTTGCTAGTGGGCCGACGATGTCCTTTTAAGTTCAAATAGATGCCTTGATTTCATAATTGATATCCGTATGACGTAATTTGATTGTTTGGACTTAGTTTCATAACGATACCTTACTTGGTCAAAATATGAATAAATGATCCGACCGTTAAATCGTCACCAAACCTTATTTCATGATAGAACATAATATTTTTGGATCATAGAAACTTACGGATCGGGAATCCGACGTACGGATCTTCCCTAATTGGATTTCTAAGTTTGTAAAATAAATTGTTGACCGCCACTTAATTTTAGTAATTGGCAGAGATCTGACCGTCGGATCGCGATGAGATTTTAGTATGTTGTTCTAGAAGCATAATGTGGACTTTGGGAAGTATGGATCCTAAATCAATGCGCGGATCATCAAGATCAAATTACGTAGAGTTGTGGACCCTATCGTTGACTGAGAGTTGAATTGTGGTCAACACGTCTCGAAATGTTATAAATAATAAAATTAGTACTACGGGACTAATTGAAGTCTAGTGGGCCTATATTGGTTAGATAGTGACTTGAATAAATGAGATATGATTATTATCTTAATTTCTTATATTAGTGTCATTTGTGAATATGAATTGGTCTTATCATTACGATTCTATTGAAATGTGATTTTATATATTTAGCCATAGACCTATGTTTATTAAATAGGATTTGGCTTGTGTACTGATAATGTTTGTGATATATATATGTGTGTGTGTGTGTGTGTGTGTGTGTGTGTTTAATTATCTCTTTAATAATGTGATTGATAATTATGATGAATGTTATGACAATTATGGGATCTAAATATTGTTTGATAATTATTTGGATATGATTGCCAATTGAATACCTATTTGAACTTGGCATTACTACCTAGCATGAGATGGAGATGAGTTAGGTATTTTATTAGATTTTTAGTAGAAATAGTAATTAAGGGAATTCCTTGTGTTGTGCTCCATATGACTAAATGCTGGTTGATATGGGGAATCGATAGCATGTATGTGTATAATTATGTATAATGTGTGATGATGAGATAGCACCATGTAGTAGTGGTACATAGATGGTCCTGCTTGGTATATCCGTGATGGGGGACCATGCACATGTTATGGGTGATCATGCTTGGTATATCCACGATGGGTGATCACTACCTAGAGCTATATGATACAATCCTGCTTGGTATATCCGTGATGGGAGACATGGGAGACCGTTATAGGTGATCGTACTTGGTATATCCGCGATGGGAGACCATATGTATTCATGGGTGATCATGCTTGGTATATCCGCGATGGGTGATCACTACCTGCACAATGAGATTATGCCTATGGTTCTACTTGGTATATCCGCGATTGGGGACCATACACATTCTAGAGGTGATGATGATTAGTTGTACTTGGTACATTTGATAGGCAATCATATTTAGTTTGGTTCCGTTAAGTGGTCCGAAACCCGAGTTTGTTGAATTTCGTGGAGTAGTCTAAAAACCCATTATTTGGAGAAGTAGGCTTGGTCTAACTGTGTCACTCTAGCCTTAGTTTTATATATATTTGTGTCAATAATTTCAAGAATCTTGTGAATTGAGTTAGAAAATATGTTGGACGTCTGAGTGACTATTTCGGGATTTCTACGATTCGATTATGATTTCATAAGGTATGAATTTAGAAGATATGGGAATAATTGTTATTACTTTGATCAAATTAATTAATTAATGCAGCTAGAGAATGGTTTTGTGTTTCGTCGGTTCTTAAATATGATCTATGTTGTGAATTGCGATATCATGATGAGACATAATGATTTATATGTTGGATGGGAGAGAAATCATGTTTTCATGGGAGTTGGTTATGTAGCCTGAGTCCAGGAATTACATGTTGTCAGTTTATAATAAAGGATTGAGGAAGGCTATGCTTTTCTGCTTAAACTTAGTGGAATAAATGTCTGATTTTGTGATAAGTGAACTACGAATGGCTTGATCCCTATTGAGGGTACGTAAGCAGTTTAACGAGGAGGTTAGATGCAGCCATAAAGTAAACGAAAAATTACTTTGCAATTTGATTCTCGAGTTGTGATTTGCCATATTCCGGAGATGGGGTATGTGAGATATACGAGTATTTGATGACGTCACGTGTCGATCATGGATATATGTCAGGATCGGGCGTGAGACTTGTAAATTATGCAGGTTCCTAAATTTTGGTGATGGATTTTTTAAGTTGATCATGTCATTTTTATTCGCTTTTAGTTTTGAAAAAAATTAGAACTATTGTTTTTGCTATCATATTACTCATGTGTTTTAATTCCCGGTTGAAAAAAGTTTTCTTGATGGATACCTTTGATTTACGAATAACGAAAAAATAAAAAGTAGGCAAACAACATTAACCCAAGTAATGAGC